TTTGCATTCATATGCTTTCTGGCTGTTTAGTTCTTCTCTCTCAGCAGCTGATACAGTTTTCTACATTCGTTTATCTCAGCCGTTTTGAGTGGTTCTCTGCTTCAAATTGAGTGCATTGCTGACTGGGCCTCTATTTCTTCTTCAAAAACGGGTCTTTTCTGTCCCGCAGCAACGTTTGCTTGGTTTTCTATGTATGACCAATCAGTGAAGACTTGGAGCCATTGATCTCCAGGATAGTTGACACTGACTGTCGTGAAGACTTGGAGCCAGGATAGTTGCGTTTGTCTCAAGGGCCAGTGAGCGCATTTGCTCTGGAGGAACTGTCAAACGTCATTTCTAGATAAGTGAACTCATTGGTTTTTCTAGAGTAGTGTCCTTGTAGCTTAGAAGTGGGTTTTTGGTGTTTCGAGCTAAAGTATATGTTTGAACCCCCGAAGTCATCTCCAGGTCTAATGATAACTATCAAAACTCCTGCCATTCGATATAAATAAATACATTATTTCAATTTATTCAAAGGCCCTACAATGTCTACTTAAAAGATGATTAAGATATAGTGGACCAATAAAATTGTTTAAAGCGCGGTTTTGGAGTAGCTAACAACAATACAGTTGTTGTCACTATGCATCCTCTTCTATGTGTTCTTCTTTTTTCCACAGATTGTTTTCAAACATGACTCTGCATGATCGTTGTCCGAAGAATGCTTCTTTCCAGTTAAAGCACGCTATGCTTTACACTAATCTTTGTCACTTTTTGATTTATTTTCCTCCCATAAAAAGTCACATGCTAATTCAAATTCGATGTATACAGTCATAAGAAATGTTTTGGTACTTTTCTGTCGCCTAAAACGCCTGCAAATAGCGTCTATTTGACTCAAAATTAATATATTTAAAACATAAAGAGTTATTTTCGTCTATTTTATATTTGATGTGTTAATGTTAATCAAGATTATATAGTTCTATCTCCCTTTTCTCAACGTCTGTAGTCACTTGATAATCAACGACGTGATTACAAAACTACTTTGAAAATAATTTGATTTTAATTTTATTGAGGAAACCAAACACATTGATAAATGAAGTCGATTTTAAAATGGAAGATTCGAATTGAATTTATTCTGAGGTCTCCATGTGTTCCTTTGCATGCATTCAAATATCGCTTTGAAAGCTTTACCTTCTGCCGTCTTCATTTCTGGATGTTCTTTCTACTAAATGGATCTGTTTGCCATAGGAGACAAAATTTTCTCAACATATCTTGGCCCTTTCACTTGAAAATTCTATTGATTTTCACAAGTATACGCCCTTTTGTGTAAATTCCAATCAAGCATATTTGAAAACGCATTCCACATACACTTCATTTCAATGGTTGATCTCGAGCTTAACAAGACATGATTATTTACAAGCTGGTTAGACAATTAAAACTTCATCCAGTTTACAAAAACGTCGATACCCTTTGCGCCAAATTTTGTGAATAAATGAAGTTATTGGCAAATTACATGAAGTGCCTTCATCCCGATGAGAATTCATGTGATCGAAGTTCTAGGATGCATTTATCATAATATTATTTGATATTTTCAATTCTTTTTGAATTTGAAATTACGCTTAACTACTATATTTAGTCTCAATTCGCATAATATCACGTTCATCTTGAAATTACACTTGACGATTAAATTTCCTGACGCTTGCTAGAATAATTCAAATTTTGTCTTTATGACTGCCGATGAATATTCTTTTTGCCGTTAAGTATATATTGCCTAGATTGCATCACGGGTATAAATAAATTGAATGATCTCTCGTTTTTCATCCAATAATAGTAAGATGAATGGATAGATTATAAACGGTTGCCTTTAATTGGCAGGCTTTTTAGATAATGCGTTATGCGGCGTTTTGAATTAAAAATGTTATCCAACTTGGATTGTTTTGGAGATATATTTAAAAAAAGTCTAATGTATTTTTCAAGGTCATTAATTGTAGCAAAGAAACGATTTGATTGCAGCTGAGCTCTTTGTTTAAAAAACTATAACCAATTACTAAACCGGGATATTCAAGTGCTTGCTTTTTATAATCACCATTTCAAAAGACTGATGCTTCTAGTATAATCTTTGTTTATTCCTATATTCACTAAAACCACAATAGAGTACAAATTAGAGAACAAATTTAATGCAGACTTACTACTGCTTGTTGATGTTAATGGGTTGCCATGCTCTTAAAAATAACAAACTAGAAATGCCTATACTGTCATGTAAAAAAATTGTCTTTAATTCTTCGTCACTACGTATTTCAACAGAATTTTAATTCCTAATTCTCATTTCTCCCCCCTTGTTGAATTTCCATCGCTCACCCCCAGTATTTCCATTTTGATTACCACAAATTCCATGGTGAAATATTCCGAATTTGGTGAATTCAAAATCGTTAAAAAACTTTGAAGTTTCTTAGTTTAAACAAATCATATAATGGGAGAAAATAGTTTTTTTCGAAAATCGGAAACTATTTTATATGGAAAAAATGTTTTTATGACGTTTTTATTTCATTAAAGCGCAAAGCAAATAAACTAAGAAATTCAGGCACAAATGAAATTGTACTGCCCTAGACAAATTGAAGCATAATTCTAGCCTCGGTTACATCAAGTGACTTGTCTAAAGTAAGAAGGGATTTTAAGAATAAAACTAAATCCATTTAGGTTGAATTGGAAAGGTATGCAGAATGCAAAATGACAATTCAGTTCCCGGTCACACATTCTAGCAATCGTTCACTTTCTGAAATAGGAAATTAAAAAAGTCTATTAACCGACAGTTGACTTCTGACTTCAAATTGCTATGATTCCACTATATGTCATATTTTACTTCTTCAACAGTACTCACCTCACCTTTTTCCACCTTCGTCTTGGAAAAAAACTCTCTGCCCTTCCACCTCCACCTCGTGAATTTCTTTCACTTTGATGTTTCTTCCGCTCTGTGAAGTGTGAAGTCGCATAAAGAGCTAGTGATAACAGACAAAACGCCTGTAATTTGGTATAATCAAAAAGGCAAATATTCTTCTTAACTGGGTGGAAAGAATCCTCAATTTACTCAATCCAGTTGTATATTTTATTCTGCCAAGTTTATTTACTTAAAATCAAGTGTATTTCAGTATCTAAATTATTAAACCTTAACACGTTTGCTCATTTAGAGCGGTTTTAACGCCAAATTCTTATTGGAATTCGCAGAGATTTCTTGCAAATGTAATGACAGGAGAAAAAGCGTTCTATTAATGACGTTAATTACCAATTTTTGGAAAATGATTTCAAACCTAGAGTAATATGCAAATGCCACTGTGGTATATTGATGTAAATTAATCCATAAATTGCGATCAAATGATATAATTTATAATTAAATGTAACTACAACTAATAAAATTTAGTAGAACATGTAAATTAAATGCAAAATCAAAAAAATCCGATTTATAAGCCGTATCTTGATGCGTGCGAAGATGGTTTAAACTCTATACTATGTATAAAACCTTATCGGAATTGTTTCATTACAATATACTTGCTCATCCTAAAACAGAGGTCGATGCCATGATAAGGAAAGTGTATTTTCGCCGAAGTAAAATTTTGAGGCACATATCTAGGATAATGATTATTAGAAATTTAGCAATTTTTAATTGCAAATTTTTCTTAAACGGCAGGCTTTATGGTATTTACCATTAGCCCTAAAACTTTGACTTCAGCTAACCCCAGGGGTGGGGTGAGCATTTATAGCAGTTCATTAGTTGCCCTCTTTCTACCTGTATTACTGGGATTTTGTCGTTGTCTTTAGGGCTGGAGAGCAAATCAAGTGGGACATCTCCATTATCTCCTGTAGATTACATAGAAGGCATGTGGGTTGAGTGCATTCGGCAAATCTGTGAAGGTGTTTTACCAGGAAATCATGTCCCGTGCGTCGTCAAAACTCAACAACGGCTTCGATTCTTCCCCAGTCGGCTATGTAGAAGATTGCACTGTCACCAGGTTTCAATTTGTTCGAGCTTAAGTGCGTTGCACATTGAAGTCTTGAAATCTCTTCTGATTAAGGCCTTCATTGTGTGCCCGTCTATGCCTTGGAAAATCGTTGCCCCTTCTTACCAAGTGTGTCAGCAAGCTCATTGCCTTTAATGCCACAGTGACCAGAAATCCATTTAAGGACCAGTTTTTTTTCTCTCTCAGCAGCTGATAGAGTTTTCTAAATTTCTTTATCTCAACTATTTTGGGTGGCGCTCTGTTCCCAATTGAGTTTATTGCTGACTTTGTGTCCGAAAGTATCACCGCTTTGGTGAATTCCGTATCCAGGCAACATAATTGGCATAGTGCTATCCTAATGGCCTCTATTTCTTCTTCAAAAACGGATCTATTATGTCCCACTTCTGCGTAGAAAGAGAAGAGTTCAGAATAGTCACCTACACCAACGTTTGCTTGGTTTTCTATGTATGACCCATCAGTGAAGCGAGCCATTGATCTGCAGGATAGTTGACATTGATTGTCTCATGGCCTGTGAGCGCATTTGCTCTGGAGGGGTGGTTGATTTCAATGAGCGTCATTGATTGTCTCAAGGGCCAGTGAGCGTTTATAGCACGACATTGATTGTCTCAAGGGCCAATGAGCGCATTTGCTCTGGAGGGGTGTTTGATTTCCTGAAGAAAACGAGCAGTTGAGGGCAACACACTACATCAGTGTCTGCAAATGGGTTCATGGGAGAGAGAGGCTTTTTGGTTTGTCATCGATTTGTAATGCTTTCTTCAGTTCTATGGCTTTCTGTATTAGACCAGATTGCGTTTTCAGATGTCTGGGTCTATTCTCATAGGTGCTGAAGAACTTGTCCATGGGAATGCGCAGTAGGTTCTCATACAGAATCAAGGCCTTTTCTTTGATAAGGAAACATATTGTGGTGCTTCCTGTAACTAGCAGTATTGCATCAATGGGTATTGATTTTATCCCTCCAGTAATTAGTAGTAATGCTTGGTTGTTTGCCTTCTCGAGTGGTTTGAGTGTCACCTATGTGGATGTTATGAGTGGCTTAAAGCAATACAACATTACTGGCTGAATAAACATCTTGTTGGTGGTGTTGAGAGTTGAGCGCGCACATCCCCATATGCCACCAGCAAGACGCTTCAGTACATTCAGTCTATTGGAGACGCGTTCTGCTATTTTAGCAATGTGACTTTTCCACGTTAGCTTTGTGTGGTAGAATCCTTGTACCTTAAAAGCGGGTTTATGCTGTGAAAAAGAAAATGTTTGGAATGCAGTTTTTGCGGTGTTAATTATCATTCCATTGTTGTCGCACCAGTTTGCTAGTAGTTTAAAAAAAAAGTTTGGAATGCAGTTTTCGCGGTGTTGATTACCATAGTTTGGAATGCAGTTTTTGCGGTGTTAATAACCATTCCATGCACCAGTTTGCTAGTAGTTTAAAAAAAAAGTTTGGAATGCAGTTTTCGCGGTGTTGATTACCATAGTTTGGAATGCAGTTTTTGCGGTGTTAATAACCATTCCATTGCAGTATTGCGGTGTTGATTACCATTCCATTGTTGTCGCACCAGTTGTGCACTATAAAGAACACTTTTTGTCCTCTCCTGAGCCTTTTTCTTAGGGGCGGAATACCATAGAACAAGATCATCTGCATAAAGTAAGCACTTAACGCCCGTGACTGTCTGTTCTAATTCGGCTATGTCATTGATGAAGACATTGAAAAGAGTGCAGCATTTGACAGCTCCTTGTGGAAGGCCTGTTTGTAAAAGATTGGATTTTGATAGACCATTTCCGTATCTGACTTTACATGATCTTTGTCGAATGAATGCTTTCATCCAGCTTAGCATGTTATGCTTAATACCAATCTTTGCCAATTTTAGAATTAGCTTCTCTTTCCATACTAAGTCATATGCTGATTTGAAATCGACGAAACAGCCGTAAGGGTATTTCTTGCATCAAGGGGATCTTTGATGTGTTGGGAGAAAGTGGCTACATGTTGGTTCAATGATCTTTGTGGCCTTAAATCTGCTTTTTCACTATTAAGAATATTGTTGGTCTCAAGGAAGCAGGTCAACCTCCTGTTAACCATTCTTTCCATAAGTTTAGCCAGCCCGCTTGTGAGGGAGATAGGCCTATAGTTGTCAAAGTTGTTAAGGTCTTTGCCTTAGGTCTTTGCCCTTTTTTAGTACTGGTATTACTATGGCAACTTCCAATTTTTAGTACTGGTATTACTATGGCAATTTTCCATTGGTTGTGAACGAGACTGGTCTCCCAGATTTTGGTGAAAAGCGTCAGCAATTTCCTTGGCTTTTGGTCCCTTTCTAATTAGAAATTCCGGACTTGGCTTTTGGTCCCATTCTAATTAGAAATTCCGGATGGATTCTTTTGGACCCATTCTAATTAGAAATTCTGGATGAATACCCCGGAATTTTTGCACTTAAGCTGTTTTATCGCAGCATTGAGTTCGTACCTTGCACTTTAGCTGTTTTATCGCAGCATATGCAATGCCCATTTATACAATCACGTCATTTTGCAATGTTCTAATACACATCGCCTTTCACTACTATGCATCCGATGGTGTAAATTCGTTTGCTCTGTTAGCAAGACCTCATTTCCACATTCACCAAAACGATCGGAGTTCTCTCCTTTATCTTCCATGCCTTGGGTCGTTTTTAAATTAAATGTACATTCTATTCTATGGAACAAAGTATCTCTCGAATTTATCAATGTAGAATCGTTTTGTCCCGGATCAACTAAGTGATTTCCTTGTAGTGCTTCAATTGGCTCCCATATGTTCTAATCCAAAATGCAAGCAATTAGTTTGCAATAGGAAGAGAAATTAATTCCATCAGTTGAAATTATTCTGAAGAGTGGGTACATAATGCTTTCAGCAAAATGAAAGTTTAATTGCTAAGTAATTTGATTTGAAGCCTTGTTGGCTTATTGGATGCGTGATTGTTTAATGTCAATATATATAAAACGATTTACTAGTGATGAATACAAAATGCCTTTTGTGGATTAATGGCAATTTGCAGTGCGCAAACATAGACTGGCGAAAAAAGATTCACAGTGTTGTTCGGCCGCACCACCCAATCCTGGGGTGCTAAAGACTTATTTATGAAGCTTGGTGATCAAATGTCACATATGTTACCCGTCATGTTTTGAGTGATAATATTTGATGACCTTGAACCGCATTTCAAATAAGACTACCTACGAAATTAATTTCACTGAAATCAAGATATATGCTAGTGAAGCGAATTTTCAGGGACGTATATTTTGGTTCTCCTGCAAATAAAGCATCTTTTAAATGGAAGCTAAAATATGCTTGTTTCTACATGTGCTAGAATGAGCACAAATATAATTTAAATCGCATAATAGTGAAGTCAGGATTTACGAGGTACTTGGATTTTTACGGTTGTATTTTCAACTTTGTTTCCAACTTTATATTCCAATCTATCAATTCAGATCAATATCAAGATAAGCAGTACACTTTCATCTAGACACCAAATCGTATAAATTCTAACACTTTGTTTTGGTTTCTTTAGAACATGTTTTATCAAATTCAACCCTTTTGTTTTTCAGATTTTCAAAAAATTCAATTTTCAATAAATTACTTATTTTAATATGTCGGATTGAAACTCAAATTGGCAAAGAATTCCAGTATATTTGCGTAAAATATTATTTCCCACCTAATAATGGCTCCTAAGAGAAAATATTTATGGCATCGCTTATAAAAGATAAAAGACCAAGTTAAAACATTATGTAGGTCAATTATAATATGGATTTCGAAATAAGGTGATCAAATAATTGTATAAAAAACTGAAATATGAAAATCATTGATGTTGCATCAAATATCCTCAAACGTAGCTCACAAATGGGATATATTTCTGCAAGATATGGACTCGTTTGTGTTCGTTTATAGTTCCTTGTTCAGATATTCATCGAACGCATTTTCACTATTGAAAGTGGGTCCATAAGGAAGATAATAAGGCGATTTACTCTAAAATCTTGTTTCATTTTCAATTACTTGAAGCGAATGTTCTTCTTTATGTGCCCATCCAAATGCCGTTTTTGAAAGATATTGATTCCACCATTTTTGTTTATGAATGCCATCTCTGTTGACGCCATATTAAACAAAACCTTTGTGATGCGTCTCGGTTCATACACATAAAAATCTAATGATTTTCACTATCGTGCTTCTATTCGTGGAAAAACCAATCAAGCATATTTGAAAAGCGCATTCCACATATATATCATTTGAATGGTTCATCTCGATTATGGCAACGCATTTGGCTCCTCAAGAAGGCAGGCTGTAAAAACTCATTTCGCTTACCTGTATGCACAAGGTCGCTTTCATTCAAAGTTGGTTTAACTACAAATCCTTTATTACTTTCACCACATGTGTATGATTTTTTCCCGTATGGGAACGCATATGCCGAGTCAAATCATCTTTGCGTTTGAAAGCTTTTTTGCATACTTCACATTTGTGGGGCCTTTCTTCACTGTGGGAAAGCATATGTCTAGTTAAATTTGATCGATTTTTAAAGGCTGTTTCACATTTTCTGCATTTGTACGGTCTTTCATCACCGTGGACCCGTTTGTGAGAATTCAGTTCAAATTTGGTATAAAATTGATTTCCACAAGCTTCACATTCGAATGGTTTTTTGTCACTATGTCTGAGTTTGTGAGCGTCCAAAGAGCATTTATATTTGCAGGTTTTATTGCATACATCACAAGTGAAGCGTCTTTCCTCACCAACTTCATCTAAAGGACCATGTTTAGTTGGAAGGTTGTTGCCCACAATAGAATTGGACTTGTTCAAGGGAGCTAAAAATAAGACGAATATGTGTATACCAGACTCTTTTAACGTCCTATCTATAGTTGGTAGTTGTTTTACTTACAGCAATACATGTAAGATTGAATATTAAATCATAGGGAAATCATGTTTGTATCAGTTACCTTTCAGATTATAAAATTCCACGTGCAAAAGCTTCATCACTATTGAAGCGGAACAACTTCATCCAAGATACACGAACGCCAATGAGATAATAACCGGATTATGATGAAAGTTGATAAATATAATTTGAATATCGATCAAG